TGTAGCTGCTGCTAAGTCGCTTCAGTCGTGTCCGACTCTGTGCGACCCCATAGACGGCAGCCCGCCTGGCTCCCCCGTCCCTGGGATTCTCCAGGCAAGAGTACTGGAGTGGGTTGCCATTTCCTTCTCCAATGCATGAAAGTGAAAACTGAAAGTGAAGTTGCTCAGTCGTGTCCGACTCTTAGCGACCCCGTGGACTGCAGCCCACCAGGCTCCTCCGTCCGTGGGGTTCTCCAGGCAAGAGTACTGGAGTGGGGTGCCATTGCCTTCTCCGAGTCTGTAGCAATACTATCCAACCTCAAGAAACAAGAAAAATAGAGAACAACCTAACTTTACACCTAAAGCAACTAAAGAAGGAACAACAACAAAAATCAAACTTAGTAGAAGGCAAGGAATCATAAAGATTAAATAAATAAAATAGAAATGAGGAAAACAATAGCAAAGGTCAATAAAACTACAGGCTGGTTCATTGAGAAGATAAAGAAAATTGATAAACCTTTAGCCAGACTTCTCAAAAAAAAAAAAAGGCACAGGACCCAAATCAATAAAGTTACAAATGGAAAAGAAGAGTTACAACAGACAATGCAGAAATACAAAGGATCATAAGAGACTACTACAAGCAACCATATGCCGATAAAATGGACAATCTGGAAGAAACTGACAAATTCTTAGAAAAGTACAATCTTTCAAGACTGAACCAGGAAGACACAGGGAATATGAACAGACCAATCAAAAGGAATGAAATTGAAACTGTGATTGAAAAATCTTCCAATAAAACAAAAGTCCAGGACCAGATGGCTTCACGAGCGAATTAAATCAAACATTTAGGACAAGAACTAATATCTATCCTTCTCAAACCTTTCCAAAAAATTGCAGAGGAAGGAATACCCCCAAACTCATTTCACGAGGCCATCACCCTGATACTGAAACCAAAGATACTACACAAAAAAAGACAATAACAGGTCAACATCACTGATGAACACAGATGCAAAGGTCCTCAACAAAACACTAAAATCCAACAACACAGTAAAAGGATCAAACACCAGGATCAAGCAGGATCTTTCCCACGTGTACAAGGATTCTTCAGCATATGCGAGTCAACCAATGTGATACAGAATATTAACAGACTGAAGAATAAAATGTGTATGATCATCTCAATGGATGCAGAAAAAGCTTCTCACAAAATTCAACACCAATTTATGATTAAAAAAAAAAAAAAGCTCCAGAAAGTGGGCACAGAGGAGACCTATCTCAACATAATAAAGGCCATATACCACAAACCCACAGCAAACACCATTCTCAATGCTGAAAAGCTGAAAGCATCTCCTCTAAGATCAGGAAGAAGCTAATGGTGCCCACTGTTACCACTATTAATTCAACATAGTTTTGGAAGTCCTGGCCAGAGCAATCAGAGAAGAAAAAGAAAGAAAAGGGATCCAGATTGGAAAAGAAGTAAGTATCATGTCACTGTTTGCAGATGACATGATAGTTTACATAGAAAAACCTCAGAGGCCACTTTCAACTACTAGAACTCATCAATGAGGGTGGTAAAGCTGCCAGATACCAAATTAACACAGAGACGCCTCTTGCATCCCTACACGCTAATAACAAAATATCAGAAAGAGGAATTAATGAAAGAATTCCATTTACCATCACAACAAAAAGAATATCTAGGAAAATCTACCTCGGGAGACAAAAGACCTGGACTCAGAAAGCCGAATGCACCGAAGGAAGAAATCACAGATGATACAAACAGATGGAGAGGCGTGGAAGCATCAACACTGTGAAACTGACTGTATTATCCAAAGCAATCCACAGATTCAGGGCAATCCCTGTCGGAAGACCAATGGCATTTTTTCAGAGAATTAGAGCAAAAACTTTTACAGTTTGTATGGAAACACAAAAGACTCCAAATAGGTTCTAGGTTCATCCACCTCATTAGAACGGACTCCAACGCACTCCTTTTTACGGCTGATTAGTATTCCATTGTGCATACGTACCACAACTTCTTTATCCATTCATCTGTCGATGGACAAGAGTGAAGTGTGTCAGAAAGAGAAAGATAAAGACTGTATTCTAATGGATATATACGGAATCTAGAAAAATGGTACTGAAGAATTTATTCACAGGGTAACAGTGGAGAAACAGACATAGAGGACTGACTTATGGACATGGGGAGAGGGGAGGAGAGGGTGAGATGAGGGGAAGAAAAAAAGACTCCAAACAGCGAAAGCAATCTTGAGAAAGAAAAAGAGAGAGCTGGGGGAATCAGGTTCCCGAACCTCACACCCCAAAGCTACAGTAATCCACACAGCATGGTACTGGCACAAAAACAGATCAATGCTACACGACAGAAAGCCCGAGATAAACCCACACATCTATGGTCACCCAATCTATGACAAACAGACAGGGAAACAGTGGCAACGGTGGCTGACTTCATTTTTGGGGGCTCCAAAATCACTGCAGACGGTGACTGCAGCCATGAAATTAAAAGACGCTCACTCCTTGGAAGGAAACTCATGATCAACCTAGATAGCATGCTAAAAAACAGAGACATTACTTGGCCACCGTCTAGCCAAGGCTATGGTTTTTCCAGTGGTCATGTATGGATGTGAGAGTTGGACTATAAAGAAAGCTGAGCGCCGAAGAATTGATGCTTTTGAACTGTGGTGTTGGAAAAGACTCTTGAGAGTCCCTTGGACTGCAAGGAGATCCAACCAGTCCATCCTAAAGGAGATCAGTCCTGGGTGTTCATTGATGTTGAAGCTGAAACTCCAATACTTTGGGCACCTGATGCGAAGAGCTGACTCATTGGAAAAGACCCTGATGCTGGGAGGGATTGGGGGCAGGAGGAGAAGGGGACAACAGAGGATGAGATGGTTGGATGGCATCACCAACTCAATGGACATAGGTTTGGGTGAACTCCAGGAGTTGGTGATGGACAGGGAGGCCTGGTGTGCTGCGGTCCACAGGGCCGCAAAGAGTCAGACATGACTGAGTGACTGAACTGAACTGAATCTATGACAAAGGAGGCAAGAACATATAATGGAGAAAAGACAGTCTGTTCAGTCAGTGATAGTGGGAAAACTGGGCAGCCCCATGCAAAAGAAAAAGATTAGAACACTTCCTAACATCAAACACAAAAATAAACTCAAAATCGAACAAAGACATATATTTAAGGCTGGACACTATAAAACACTAAAAGGAAAATACAGGCAGATCACGATTTGACATAAATCACATTAAGATCTTTCTGACCCACCTCCTAGAAGACAGAAAATAAACAAAAATAAGCTAATAGGACTCAGTTATACTCAAAAGCTTTTGCACAGCAAACACATTCATAAATAAGACAAAAAGACGATCCTTATAATGGGAGAAAATATTTGCAAATGAAGCAACTGACAAGGCATTAATCTCTAAAATACACAAACAGCTCATGCAGCTCAATATAAAAAAAAAATCTGCAAACAATAAATGCTGGAGAGGGTGTGGAGAAAAGGGAACCCTTTTACACTGTTGTGGAGAATGTAAATTGATGCAGCCTCTATGGAGAACAGTATGGAGGTTCCTCGCAAAACTAATAATAGAACTACCACATGATGCAGTAACTGCACTCCTAGGCATATATCCCAACAGAACCATAATTCCAAAAGACGTATGCACCTCCATGCTCACTGCACCACTATCTACAAGAGCCAGGATGTGGAAGCAACCTAGATGTCCATCAGCAGAGGGATGGATAAAGAAGATGAGGTACACAGAGATGATAGAATACTACTCAGCCACGAAAAGGGATGAAACAGTGCCACTGGCAGGACACGGATGGACCTAGAGACCGTCCCATAGAGTGAAATACCTCAAGGAGAGAAAAACACATATAAGATCCCTTACACGTGGAATCTAGTAAAATGGTACCGATGAACTTATGTGGCAAAGCAGAAGTAGAGAGACAGACTTAGAAAACAAAAATGTATGCACGCCAAGAGGAGAGGCAGAACGTGGGATGACCTGAGAGACTGGGATTGACAGATCTACACGCCTGATACTGTGTCTAACATAGATAAGTAATGAGTGACTACTGGTGCAGCACAGGGAACGCGACTCAGCCTTCTGTGGTGACCTATGTGGGAAGGAAATTCAAAAAAGAGGGAATATCTGTAAACACACAGCTGATTCCCTTTGCTGGACGGCAGAACTGACACAGGGCTTCCCCGATGTGGCTCAGAGGTTAAAGCGTCTGCCTCCAATGCGGGAGACCCGGTTTCGATCCCTGGGTTGGGAAGATCCCCTGGAGAAGGAAATGGTAACCCACTCCAGTATTCTTGCCTGGAGAATCCCATGGACGGAGGAGCCTGGTAGGCTACAGTCCATGGGGTCGCAAAGAGTCGGACACGACCGAGCAACTTCATTTTGACTTTCTTCCCCTGATGGCCCAGGGGTAAAGAATCCTCCTGCCAGTGCAAGAGATGCAAGAGACACGGGTTCGATCCTTGGGTGGGGGAAGATCCCCTGGAGAAGGAAATGGCAACCCACTCCAGTATTCTTGGCTGGAAACCCACTCCAGTATTCTGGCCTGGAGAGTCCCATGAACAGAGGATCCTGGCGGGTCACAAAAGAGTCGGACACGACTGAGCACACACACATATGCGTAGAACTAACATGACACTGCAAAGCAGCTATACTTCCATAAATTTTTAAAAAGTCTTTTGCTTCGTTGCATATTAAAAATAAGGGTCAAGTTTTTTTTTTTTTTTTTTAACCAGATGGAAAAAGGAGGGCCCTACTCAATCATTCTCAATCACGAAATCTCAACTCTAGGGTCCCATGGCTCCTGCACCGGACTTTCTTTCTTCTGTGAAACAGAAACAAACCTATGAGACAAAAGTCACAGGAACAGAGTTGGAGCCGCCAGAATAATAACAGTAATAATGGACCTTCCAAGAGGAAATGGATAACCACAGGAACCACGGATCCTGTGTCAGCTATAAAACTCTTACCTGCCCTTTGTACTCCACTGGCTTCAGTCCTGCATAGATGGGCACGAAGCTGCTGGCTAACAGGACCTAGTGGACAAAATAAAGAAACAGCTAGTGAAATGAGACAGCAACACGCCCTACCATCTATTTCACACATCACCTACTAGCAGCTTACAATCATTTAAACACAAAAGTCTACTATAAAAATGAAATACGGTCCATGTATTTCATGGGCACCGTGAAAGCGAAAGCGTTAGTAGCTCAGACATGCCCAACTCTTTGCAACCTCGTGGACTGGGGTCTTCCCAGGCTCCTCTGTCCAAGGGATTTTCCAGGCAAGAATACTGGAGTGGGTTGCCATTCCCTTCTCCAGGGGATCTTCCCGCTCCAGGGATTGAACCTGGGCCTCCCGTGTTGCAGGCAGAATTCTTTACCAAGTGAGCCACCAGGATGTACTTAAAACAGAAGATAAGATTTTTCATATCAGAAAAGACATTAAAGACATTGGCACAATTCATGTTCCTCTGACTCTATCGACTTCACCCGAGAAACACTGACACTTTAATGGTAGACGGCTGAGTCACTGCATAATTAAAGTCCAGTTCAGCTCAGTTGCTCAGTCCTGTCCGACTCTTTGTGATCCCATGGACGACAGCACGCCACGCCTCCCTGTCCACCACCAACTCCCAGAGTTAACTCAGACTCATGTCCATGGAGTCGGTGATGCCATCCAGCCATCTCATCCTCTGTGGTCCCCTTCTCCTCCCAACTTCAATCTTTCCCAGCATCAGGGTCTTTTCAATGAGTCATCTGTTCGCATCAGGTGGCCTGTCAGGGAGTGTTTGATGGGAGGATTCCTACGTGCCGTCTCTCATGAGTCCTCTGTCCCTCTTCACGTGGAACAGCACGCTGCTCCCAGGGACTGAGGTCATTGTGTGAGGCAGGCTTGGGTCTCCTTTAGTAAACATTCTCTTTAGGACAAAACTGCTTAGTCTCCTTCCCCTTTCTTGAGATATGGATTGTCTCCTGACCTTGTGACTAACATTACCCCTTGTTCCCTTGGTAACGGTTGCTGTACGTTTGGTTTTCTGATCTCTATCATTCCCGAAAGAAGTTTCTTGTACCACAGCCTATATATACTCATAGAAAAATCATTAAAGCACCTTTGCTCCATCAGAGCTTAGGTCCCGGGGTCTTTTTTTGTCTCTCTCTCTCTTTCTCTCTTTTACTTTCTTATCGTCGACTCCGTACCACCAGGTTCCGGTCCATTAAAGGCCCCCAACAGTGGCCGAAGTATTGGAGTTTCAGCTTCAGCATCAGTCCTTCCAACGAACATTCAGGATTGATTTCCTTTAGGATGGACTGGTAGGATCTCCTTGCAGCCCAAGGGACTCTCAAGAGCCTTCTCCAGCACCACGGTTCAAAAGCATCCATGCTTTGGTGTTCAGGTTTCTTTATAGTCCAACTCTCACATCCGTACATGACTCCTGGAAAAACCATAGCCTTGACTAGACGGATTAAAGTCCAGGTGTGTCTAAATTCCCGCGTGCGTACAGGCCGCAAGTCAGTTATTGTCGATGTTCTATCCCACATTGTGAGAATCATTTGGATGTTTCAGTCTTCCAGAGGAACAAACCCCTATGGTTGTCATGGCAGTGACTAGCTCGCAGCTGAGGGATATTTGCATTTATGTCACCAGGCCGTCACCGAGGGAAGAAAACATGTTACATGCCACGGACATGCCCTGGATATGTAATGAGACAGCGGCTGCTAGGAGCACCAAGCATACTTTACCTTCCATTTAAAAACTCGAAAGAGACTGCCGTCACAAATATTACTGTCTCCTCCCACAGAAAAAGCCGGGTTCTGGGGAGCTTTCCTGACATGCACGAGTCAGTTGTGCAATGCAGTTTGCAAATCGCTGTGTTCTATCAGGAAAGATACAGCATGAGATACTGACTACTTAAGGTCCAATCCTTCAGTTGATAAGTCAAGACTCCATGGCTGTTTGCTGTGAAAGATTTCATCAAGCTTCTTTCCCCAGCAGGAGTTATTCAGAGATGGATTACGGCCTTTAAAATGACTGTGCAATATCCATTAGGGCTTCTCGGGTGGCACTAGTGGTAAAGAACCTGCTTACCAAGGCAGAGGACATACGAGACGTGGATTCAGTCCCTGGGTTGGGAAGATCCCCTGGAGGAGGAAATGGCAACCCACTCCAGTAGTCCTGCCTGGAAAATCCCAGGGACGGAGGAGCCTGGCGGGCTACAGTCTATGAGATTGCAAAGAGTCTGACACAACACAGCGACCCAGCAGACACAGTATGCATTAAGAATTACTTAGAAATCAGAAGGGCATTTCCCCCAAAGGAAGAATGCTGTACCTGTGATTTGTGCGGCCAGCTCAAAACAAGCTGATTCATTCTGAAGGGCAAATGATGAGAGGCCCAGTCACGAGCCTAACAACCGGGTGGGAAGAGCCGACTCATCGGAAAAGACCCCGATGCTGCGGAAAGACTGAGGGCGGGAGGGGACGGGGATGACAGGGGGTGGAATGGTTGGATGGCATCACCGACTCAAGCACTGATGCACATACACGACCCTGTCTAAAACAGAGAGCTGGTGGGAAGCTGCTGCATTAGCACAGGGAGGTCAGGTCGGCGCTCTGGTGATGACCTAGAGGGGTGGGGTGGGGCGGGGGGAGGCTCAAGAGGGATGCCATGTGAGGGGAGGGATGGATGTATACATATGGCTGATACATTTCATTGTAGAGCAGAGACCAACACAACACTGTAAAACAACTACACTCCAAAGTCAAAACAAAGCCCTATGATAAAGCACAACAGAAAATATTAAAGAGAATGTGCGTATATATGTGTGTATGTGTATAACTGAATCACTGCCGTACAACAGAAAATAATAACAACTGTAAATCAGCTATACTTCAATAAAAATAAATAAGAAAAAAAGAAGAAATTGGGATGGGAGGTGGGAGGGAAGTTTAAGAGGGAGGCGATGTGTGTGTACCTAAGGCTGATGCATGTTGATTGGATGGCAGAGACCAACACAATATCATAAAGCAATGATCCTCCCATGAAACATAGAGAAATAAATAAAAGAAGAACCAGATCTGAAAGAGAAACGTGCACCCCAATGTTCATCGCAGCACTGTTTATAATAGCCAGGACATGGAAGCAACCTAGATGCCCATCAGCAGACGAATGGATGAGGAAGCTGTGGTACATATACACCATGGAATATTACTCAGCCATTAAAAAGAATTCATTTGAATCAGTTCTAATGAGATGGATGAAACTGGAGCCCATTATACAGAGCGAAGTAAGCCAGAAAGATAAAGACCATTACAGTATACTAACACATATATATGGAATTTAGAAAGACGGTAACGATAACCCTATATGCAAAACAGAAAAAGAGACTCCGATGTATGGAACAGACTTGTGGACTCTGGGAGAAGGCGAGGGTGGGATGTTTCAAGAGAACAGCATCGAAACACGTATATTATCTAGGGTGAAACAGATCACCAGTCCAGGTTGGGTGCATGAGACAAGTGCTCAGGCCTGGTGCACTGGGAAGACCCAGAGGGATCGGGCGGAGAGGGAGGTGGGAGGGGGGACCGGGATGGGGAATACATGTAAATCCATGGCTAATTCATTTCAATGTATGACAAAAACCACTGCAATGATGTAAAGTAATTAGCCTCCAACTAATAAAAATAAATGAAAAAAAAAATAAAGCAAGAATAAAGCAAAAAAAAAAAAAAAAAGAACCGTGAGGTGTCGAGAGCAAAGCACAGACCCGAGGTATGACAACAACCCTGCAGGAGAGGTCGCAGCCTTCTAAGGAGGGTCGGTACTCACGAGCCCTCACTGAGCATTCATCTCCAAAATCTCAGCTTCAGTGTGGGTGTGACAGGATAGGGTGCCATGCCTGCCGCTACCCGCACCCTTCTCAGAGAGGTGCGAGCCGGGGTGGGCATCCTCTCTGGTGGTCTGCAGATGATAACAGCCATCAGCGGGGCTGATAGGATGGAAACCAAGCAAACTCAGGCCCAGCCTGGTCAGCCCCCGAGTCGCCCTGACCTGGGCAGCTGGGGTCTTTCAGAACAAAACTGGACACAGTTATGGTCACGGCCTTCACCCTAATTAATCAGTTACCCACTCCTTTTAAAAAACGTAATTACAGGGGCTTCCCTGGTGGTTCAGTGGTAAAGAATGTGCCTGCCAATGCAGGAGACATGGGTTTGATCCCTGGGTCGGGAAGATCCCCTGGAGGAGGAAATGGCAACCCACTCCAGTATTCTTGCCTGGAGAATCCACATGGACAGAGGAGCCTGGTGGGCCACAGTCTGTGGGGTCGCAGAGAGTTGGACACAACTGAGTGACTTAACACTTTCTAGCCGGTCCTCTGGGAACACCCAGCAGGATAGGGTAGGGAGGGAAATGGGAGGGGAATTCAGGACGTGGTGGTGGTGGGGGAACGCATGTATGCTTTTGGCTGATTCACGCTGATGTAGGCAAAAACCATCACAAGACTGTAATTATCCTCCCTAGGCTCTCAAAGAGTCAGAAAAGACTGAGCAACTTCACTTTCAATTATCCTCCAATTAAAATTAATTAAAAAAAGAAAGCTGTGAAAAAAAAAATAAAGTACAAAGGATGCAGTGCTGGGGGGAAAAAATTATTACAGGACTTCCCTGGTGGTCCAGTGGTTAAGAATCCACCTGCCAATGCAGGGGACTCATTTCCTACTGTCCATGGGGTCGTAAGAGTCGGACATGACTTACGTGACTAAATCACTGCCACAGGGGCCTTTAAATAACCAAAGATACTCTAGGACTCTAGTCATTTATTTCACTGTGTGTGAGGGCTCAATTGCTCTATCATGTCAAACTCTTTCCGACCCCATGGACTATATAGCCCATCAGGCTCCTCTGTCCGTGAGATTCTCCAGGCAAGAACTCTGGAGTGGGTGGCTATTTCCTCCTCCAGGGGATCTTCCTGACCCAGGGATCGGACCTGCGTCTCCTGCCTTGGCAGACGGAAACTTTGCCACTGTTTTGCCTGG